GATCTTGCTGATGATGCCCAGTGGCGCGTTGCATGCAGGGGGGTGGTGTTCCGTCAGTTTATGGCCGAGGGGCCTTTCCAGTGGCGGTGGCAGTGCTTTCTTTTACCAGGCCTCGTTCAAACGATCACTCGTGGTGAACTTGCTGCCCTGGTCATGTTGGCCACCACTGTGGGCCGCAACTTCGGAGTCTGGACCCGTGTCAAGTCCGCGGGCGGGGTCCACGCCCGCGTCGCCACTGCTGGCCGCGGCCCGCCAGGCTGCTGCGCAGCCGGGCTGAGCGGCGACCTCTGGCAGAAGTTCGTCGGCGCCCTCCGCGCCCGCCCTGCCCGACGCGTGGTGGCGACGGATATCAGCGCTCTCGCGGCGCCAGCCGACGCTCGCGCGGTGATGGAGACCTACCTCTAAGACGGCAGCGATAAAGCCGACGCTGCTGCCAAGCGGGGCCCGTCCGGGCGCGAGCGCGCCTGCGACGCAGCCCCCGCGGAAATGCAGCGGGTCGCAGCATTGTCTAGCCGCGTGCAGTGCGTTCAGTCTGCGGGGCAAAGCCGTGTGCTTGATGCGCGCGGCGGCGACGACCAGGGGCGGGTCGGCGTCGCCGGAGGCGCGGCCCTTGGCGGGGCTGACGACCCCTCGGTGTGAGTGGTGCGCGGCCGCCACTTTTACGACCGCTTCCTCAAATGGTGGCGCGACCTGGTGTGGCCAGGCCGTTGTAATGTCCCTCCCCGCGGCCCCTACGGTGCCGCGTTTGTGGTGGAGCTGGCGGGGATCCGCGCGCGCGCGCCTCCCGGTGAAGGGGCGCCGCGGCAAGTGGCACCCGCGGGGCCCGCGCCCGTCCGCCGCCGACTTGCCCCGGGCGCTCAAGGCCAAAGGGCGTGCGCGTGCAGGCCGTGATCAGGGTGCTGGGGCAGCGCGCCGCGGGTTTCGCGGCGCCCGTCTGCCGCTTCGCCCGCTTCTGGGGCATGTTCGGCTGCGCGCAGGAGGCGACCGCGCGTGCCCGGGGGATGCGGTCGCTGATGGGCCGCCGAGTCCTGCGCGCGCAGTTCGAGACCTTCTGGGGCGTCGTCGGGAAGGCCCGCCGCAGACGGGCCAAGTCTTCAAGACATCATTGGGCGGTGCCTCTCTGAGCGACGTCAGGGGGCGCGTCGTTGGCGCCGACCCTCTCGGCGAGTGCCTGGCCATGCGCGGCCGCGGCCAGAGCGACTTCGAGACGACTGATCTTGAGCTTTCTGCCGGGAAGGAGGGCGGGGGGCAGCGTCCAGCCGTTCTTCGTGTCCGTGCTCAGCAGGGTTCCAGTGTCGCCTCCACCCTGCGCGCGTGGCCTGCCATCCTGCCGAGCAGGCGCGGCAGGGGATCGCCTTCGACGAGGAGGGCCGGCGCCGTGGCCGGGTTCCACGAACTGCATCCGTTTGTCTGCCGCCTCTGGAGGCAATCTGCTCGGAGTCAATGTGCAGGACTCGTGGTGGGAGTGAGTGTGTCACAGCAGGGTCGACCCGCGAGAGCTCGGGCGTGCGTGGCGGAGTCCACGCGGGGGCCTCTGGCGGTGCTCGGCCGGACGGCAGTCGTCCGATTGCAGCCAGTCCGTCTTCTTCTTTTTGCTGCTGGGGCCCGCAACGGTGCTTCTTCGCCCTCTCGCGGGGCCCGCGCTGGTGCCTCTCGTTCCTCCTCATCCGTGGCCCGCAATGGCGCCTGCCCGTCTGCTCGTCCGTGAGTGTCATTGCCGAGCTGCCGTCGCGCTGGGCTTCCTCGCTGGGCGGCGCCCCCGCCAAGGCGATGATGTTGGCCCGCTACCGGGGCGGCGTCTCCCCCCGTGGCGTCGGCCGCCCGCTTAGCCAGGACGCCGAAAACATTGCGCGCCTCGCGGTCCCGCCTCCCGCCGTGGTCTTCCACCGCCAGAAGAGTGGAAAGTGGGGCGCTCTGCGTCGCGCTCTGCTGCGCGGTATCCTGGCGATGCTGTCTGAACTCCTCGTGCAGTTCCGTCGACGCACTCGTCGGGGCGGCCGCGGCGACGAGGAGGTCGGCGCGCGTCCTGGGCTCGGCGGCAACGCCCCGAGAGTCTGCCGTGCCGTTGCGCCGTCGGGGCAGGTGGGCGTCGTCGGGGCGGCAGCTGTTGTCGTCCACCTAAACCCTCCTTGATCGCTGCCATGGGTGGCGCCCCTGGCGCGGCGCGGGAGTGGCGCCCCAGTCGTGGTCAGCGGCCAGGGCGTCGAATAATGCCCGGTTGCGCAGGGCGTGGCGGCGCTTGGTCTGGTCGCCGCGGCAGGCGTTGACCAGGGCGTTGTCGCAGAAGACGTCCATCGCCTCGCCGCGTGCTGGGCCAGCGGGGGGCGGTGTGCGGTGGGCGTCGCCGCCGGCGCCGGGTAGGGCGGCTTGCAGGAGTGGGCGCGCAGTCGTCGGGCGCGCCGCGAGACTTGTGCATTTTCGAGCGCCCCAGCACGGCGGCTCTCTCGGCCCGCTCTGTGGCGTGCTCCGCGCAGGAGTCCGCGTGCCTCCTCGGCGCGCCGAGCAGCTCGAAGCTGTGGTCGGTGCAGGGGCGGAAGAGTGGCGGGTGCCTGTCATGCGAGACGTCGGAGGCGGCGCCGTAAGCGGGAACTACCTCGTATTTGCCTTGGCCCGCTCTCAGATGGAGGTCCTCCGCGGCGAGGTTGGCCGCGGGCAAGTGGGGGGGGGCGCGCCGCGGCCGACGGGTTGTCCGCGAGGCAGGTGTCGCCAGCTAGGTGAAATTCAGATCCACGGCGCCGCTGGCGCCGCGGCTCGGCGCGCGGAGGGCGGCCTCGGCTGCGCGCTGGAGAGCCGGGGGGGGGCAGAGGCCTCGGAGGGTCGCCGTTCTGTGCCTCGCTGTTTCGGAGTGGACAGACTGCTTGCGCTGGAAGAACAGTTGTCGGGCGCGGGTAGCACCAGGCAGCCTGTGGTGCCGGCCCGGGGAAACTTTTCGGTGCCGCGCGGAGCAGAGCTTGCCTGTCCAGGGTGTTGAAGGCGCTCGACGACTTCAGCTTCGCGAGCACCGCCCCCATGTCTCCGAGGTGGCGGGCAGACCACTGGCTCGCAACGTGCGCCTCTGCCTCGGTGCCGCCGGGGGCCGCGGCGCCAATCTGGGCGGGGGCCGGTCGGTCGCGCGCGGCGTCGGTTACGTCGTGGCAGAGGCACTCAGACGAGGCGCCAGAGAACCCCGGCGGCGGCGACTGGGCGCATGCCTCCGTTCGTCATCGGCCGACTTACCAGAATGGCGCCCGCGGAGAACTCCGACGTGGCGTCGGGGCCTCCCTCTATGCGCAGAGGCGCAGAGGTTGACGAGTTTTCGAAGCTGGTCGACGACCTCGTCCCTGTGGGCGGCGCCGAGCAGTTCGTCCTTGAAGGACTGGCGTCGAGGGCCCGCTGGCCTGGCAGACGAGCTCTGGTGAAAGGTCCCGACGTCCCGCTTGACCGCATCTCCGTCCACCCGCAGTCCACGCGGAAGGTTTGGAGGAAAGGGTGTGCGTTGAGGGCTGCGACGTGTGGCGCGCTCTTCCTGTTAGATGCCCCAGACGAGTCAACGCGCGTGCTCCTCCGCCGCCAATACCAGACGGAGAAGATGGGATATCCATCGTCGAGAATCTCGACGTTGATGCACACCGCCTCCTTTTCCAACCCACCAGTCGCGTCGTACCGCTTCCTGTGACTGCCACGTGTCGAGGCAGTTTTTTTTTTTTTTTTTTTTTTTTTTTTTTTTTTTTTTTTTTTTTTTTTTTTTTTTTTTTTTTTTTTTTGTATTTTTATATATATATATATATATATATATATATATATATATATATATATATTAAAAAATATATTATATGTATATATAGAATATTATTGTTTTTTTTTCTTCCCCCCCTCTCTCTCTTGTTTTGTTATTATCATTTTTTGTGGTTGTTTGGGAAAGAAGAGGTCTAGTTTATTCAACGTGGCTAGCGATTTACGGGCCTCCTGGCCGCCCCCTGTCGTTGCGGCAGCATCGCTTCGAACTCCTGGCCAAAGCGCGCTGCGCGTCATTGGGCTGTCGGTTAGCTGGTTGTAGTGCAGAGCCAAACGAGGATATTCCACCTGATACCAGCGGTTTTTCGTTGTTTGCTGAAAAAAAACGGCTGAGCCCGCAGAGCGGGAGCCATGGCTGGCCCCCAAAATAAATTGCACGCGAATTTTGCAATCAGTGGGTGTGCGAAGGTTGGTATCAATCTTTGCATTTTTCTCAAAGCCATTTTGGCGTTTGTTTTTTTGGGGGGTCGGCGGCTTTAGGAACCAACAGGCGGCCGTTGGTGGTCCATGTGCGGCGGAATGCGGGAGGGATGTACCGAATCGAGGTTCCCGTGAGCCGTGTGAAGTTTCGGGTGAGGGCCCGTGGGGGTCCATGGGGCACGGAGTGCGTGAGGGGTCTGCCAAACTGTAGCTCCCTTCGCATCCGTCTTGAGGGCCAGGGGATCGCCCCTGGAGGTCCATGGGGCGCGACATACGTAAGGGATGTGTTGCATTTAGGCCCAATGGAACCGCATTCGGGGCCAGCTGAGCACCCAGTGGAATAGCCGATCCCTCGTCTAGTTACGTTTCCCAAACCCCTAGGGCCCCAAACGCTAGTGTTTTATGTTCCCAGTGCTCCCGATAGCGCAGACAGCGTATATTTGTACATGTCCTGGGCGAATGCATCGGCGGATACCTTGCGGAATGCGCAAAGTCCTTCCTTCGATGAATTTAGCGTGCAATCTCACCACCCTTCCCTTCACCCACATGTCATCCTCTCCCTTCGAAGCTTAATCAGGCTTGGGACCGCAAGGGGTACGGCGAATCTTTCGAGTGCGCGGGTTCGGCTTGCTCGTTTCGGTACCGGTGCTGGTTTCCCCAAGTGGACGTGTTCCTCCGCTGGATTTGGCGGCATATTCGATTCAGCACCGACCAGGGCGAGGGTGGGCGATGATGCGCCAGATAGTTAGTGAGCATAGTGGCTCCTCTGATGCAGATCTAGTTGTTTTCCCCCTCTGGGCGGGCAGGCGACGCAGCAGCCAGACATCGTCGCGCTCAAAGCTCCGCAGTCCTCGAAGCTCGCGCTGTGGGATTGGTCTGCCTGCCGCTCTGCAGTTGCAGCTCTCTCCCTCGCTCGGCGTGATGCCTCGCTCCCCCCCAGTTTGAGCCATTTGCCCGATGCCAGCACTGGCTCTCCCCCTTCCAACTTTTGCGACAGATCACACCTCCCTCCTGCACTCGCGTGCTCGCCCTCGCCGCCTCCCGAGCCCGGCCTGTGCCACGGTGGCCCCCCGCGCCCCCCCCCCCCCCCCCGGGCGCGCGGAGAGACGCGGCCAGGCCCCCCCCCCGGCGCGGCGAGCCGCCCCCTTGCGGCGCCACGAGCAGGCATCACGTTCCGAAGAGAGAGCTCTCGACCCCTCTCCGGGGCGGGCCGCCCGCCGCTCCAAGGGGGAGTCCCCCCAGGGTGCCCGCGAAAACCACACGGGATCCTGTCAGCACTGGCGTGCAGGTTCGCTGGGCGGTCGTGAGGAGCAAGCCGTGAGGCGGGGCGCCCGTGCTCCACCGCTCGACGGCTCGAGCACTCACCGGCCGCCGCCGCCTCCCCCGCAGCCCCTCGCCGCTGCTGCCGCTGGCGGTTGCGGCGGGGCGGCAGCCGCAGCGCCGTCACCACTGTCCCAGCGTCCTGCCCTCCCGCCGATCCACCCATCCGATCGTTCTCTCTCCCTCCTCAATCCTCCCGCCGACGCCTCCGCCATTTCTCCTCAGTCACATGTTGAGCCTGCCTGTCCATGCACGTCTCTGTCTCTCTCTTGCTCTCGCTCTCTTCCCCCCTCTCTCTTTCTCTCTGTCACGGTCTCTCTTCTTTCTCGTCGCCTGCCCCCCGTCTTGTGCCTCTTCTGCCCTGCCAGTGCTCCCCTAGGAGTGCCTGGCTCCCCTGGAGCGTCCTCCTCCTCGTCTTCCGGCTGCTGCTCCTGCTCCTGCTTCTCTCCGCCCTCCCTGGTTGCCCCTGCCTCTGCTCCTCCCCCCGTGCCGCTCCTGCTCCTCTCCCTCGTGCTCCTCGTTCTCGTCCTTCTCGTCCTCTTTGCTCCTCCTCCCTCTCGGCCTCCAGAAAGCTTGTGAGTCCTTCGCCGACGTCTCCTGAACCCTCGGCAAAACTGCGAAGACATCAGGACACCTTCGAGAGCCATTCGGGGACCCTCGAGAGCTGTCCGTCAGGCTCCCGAGACATCCGAAAGCCTCCGGCTACGCGAGGAAAGCCAGTGAAGACCTCCAGAAGGGTTTCGAGACCCCCGAACACTCCCGCAGACCTTGCCTGCCGTATCCCTGCTTTCTCCCTTGGGCAAGCCACGGGGGCAGCTCGCAAGCTGGGGTATTCCGGATTCCATAATAAAGTGTGTGGGGGGGTCACATTTTGGGGGGGGGTCTGATTTGAGGTGTATTGGAGGGCTCGGGGGGGTCTGGGCAAAGGGCCGCCCTTTCATGGATGGTCTGGGGGGGTCTAAGACTTCTCGTCTGGGAGGGTTGTGACCCCCTCCCTTTTACTACGGAATCTGGAGTAGCCAGCGAGGCGGCTACCAGCGAGAGGCGGCCGCAGGTACGGACGGGCAGGGCAGCGAGCAGCGGCCGCGCAGCGGGCCTGTGGGCCTGCCTGCCCACCAGGGCGGAGCGGCCGGGATCCTCACGGCAAGAGTGTCGTCGAAGGCGGACGCCTCCTCCCTCCCCCCTGCTGCTGCTGCTGCTGCTGCTGCTGCTGCTCCTCCTCCTCCTCCCTCTCCTCCCTCCTCCTCCTCCTCCTCTCCTCCTCCTCCTCCTCCTCCTCTCCTCCTCCTCCTCCTCCTCCCTCCTCTCCTCCTCCTCCTCCCTCCTCCTCCTCCTCCTCCTCCTCCTCCTCCTCCTCCTCCTCCTCCTCCTCCTCCTCCTCCTCTTCCTCCTGGCGGCACCGTGCTGCACCTGCAGTGCCGAGAGAATCGGGAACAAGAGCGCACCTCCCGTCTGCATCTCGGCGCCTCGTCGGAGCAACGATCTTGGCATCGATCGGACGTGTGCACTTCGCACTAGGCGGGGACCGTCTGGCAGCATTCTGGGGCCACCCTGCGAAGCAGTACACGCACGTGGCCGAAGCATGCGCCGCGGGCCGCTTGTCCGCCAGGCGCCTGGGCAGACCTGTCCAGCTCCGCGTGAAAGTCTCTCTCTGTCTCCCTGTCTCTGCCTCTGGCTCAGGCTCTGGCTCTGGCTCTGCCTCTGCCTCTCTCCCTGTCTGTGTCTGTCTGTCTCTTTCTGCAGGTCTGCCTGCCTGCCTGCCTGCCTGCCTGCCTGTCTGTCTGTCTGTCTGTCTGTCTGCCTGTCTGTCTGTCTGTCGGTCACTTTCTGCCGGTCCGTCTGTCTATCTGTCCGTCCGTCCGCCTGTCTGCCTGCCTGCCTGTCTGCCTGCCTGCCTGTCTGCCTGCCTGTCTCTCTCCCTCCCCCTCGCTCCCTCTCCCCCTCCGCGGCGCCCCGCGCCTCCCGCGAGGGAACCATCCCCGCGAGGACCGCCTGCCGGCGCATAGGGAGCACTTCTGGGACGTCTCCCTGCGGAGCGTGGACGGCCAGGCCGCGCCCGCCGTCGCCGCCGCCGTGGCCGACGGCGTCGCCGCCGCCGCCGCCGTCGTCCTCGCCGCCGTCGTCGTCCTCGCCGCCGTCGTCGTCGTCGTCCTCGTCGTCGTCGTCGTCGTCGTCGTCGTCGTCGTCGTCGTCGTCGTCGTCGTCAACGTCGTCGTAGTCGTCGGCCCCGCCGCCGCCGCGGCCGCCCTTGGTGGCGGCGCCGTCGTCGCCGTCGTCGGCCTCGGCGTCGTCCACCTGCCGCTCGGTGGCGCCGTCGTCGCCGTCCCCGGCGTCGGCGTCTGCGTCGTCGGTTGGAGAAGTGAGGAGGCGGAGGAGGAAATGGAGTAGGGAGCGAGGGAGGAAGCGAATCAGGAGGAGGAGGAGGAGGAGGAGGAGGAGGAGGAGGAGGGGGAGGGGGAGGGAGAGGGGGAGGGAGGAGGATGATTCCCTATCCTCTTGTATTGTTGGGACCCCGTGTTAGATCCGCAGCGCCCTGCGTCACTCCTCTACCCCATCTTCCTCCACACTTGCTCATTATCTAATGGCATTCGGCCCTTTCCGCGACCGTACCTGTGTTGTGGGTATGAAGTCAATCGAATGTTGGCAGTTTGGGTGCCTCTTGGGGGCCGTTCGGGGGCCTCTTGCCTTTTCTTTTGGGCCTCTTGGGGGCCCCTTGGGGCCTCTTGGGGGCCTCTTGGGGCTTTCTGGGCGCCTCTTGGGGCCTCCTGGACTCTTGGGGCTGAAGGAAGGCTCGGATTTTCGGTTCGTGCTCCCTCTTTCGGCCCCCCCTTTGGGGCCATCTTGGGGCCCTCTTGGGCCGTTTCGGGCGCCTCTTGGGCTGTCTTGGGGTCGTCTGGGAGCATCGGGAGTCCGAGAAGGCGGGATCGCGAAAATCCATCAAACACCCACGGAAAATCACTGTAGGGGCCATCTTGGGCGCCTTGGGCCGATCTCTCCGCGACTCGAGGCCATCGTGGGCCGTCTTGGAGGCCTCTTGGGGCCCTCTGGGCCCGTCTTGGGGCTTTCTTGGGCCCGACCAAGTCAAGGCCCAAGGGGACCGCGCCAAGCCCCAAGAATATTTGTGAATTCTTGACGCTTCGCGTGTCCCTTCTGGTTTCCCTGGGCCAGTTCCCTGGCACCTGCAGCCTGCACCCCCCCTCGCGCCGGCCCGCCCGCCGAGGCGCTGCCTGAGGTCGCCGGCCCGTCGGCGTTAGGTAGCTCGGCTCTTGCGCGGCCCGCTCGGACCTGACTCGCCGCTGGCGCTTTCGCCTGCGGTTGCGACAAGAAGTGTCCCTTCTGGCCCATCCAGAACCGACGCCCAGGCGAGTCTTGGGTGCCTCGGGAATCCGCTTGAGGCCTCTTGGGGGCCTCTTGGGAGCCTCTTGGAGGCCCCTTGGGCGCCTCTTGGGGCCGTCTGGGCGCCTCTTGCGGCTCTCGTTGGGCGCTCTTGGGAACTTTAGGGGCGCTCTTGGAGCCATCTTGGAGGATATCGCTCAACAAAGGGGGGAGTGCCTAAAATCGCCTCTTGGACCCATCTTGGAGCGCTCTTGGGCGCTCTTGGGGACGTCTTGGGGCTCTCTTGGGCCTCTCTTGGGGCTCTTAGGGGCCCCCTCGGAGCTGTCTTGAGGCCTCGAAAGGCCATCGAAAGCAACATTCGAGAAGGAAGCATTCATTGTTTTTGGCCTCTTGGCGGCCTCCTGGGGAGGTTCCATGGCCTTAGGGCCGTCTTGGAGCGGTCTTGGGGCCTCTTGGAGCATCTTCGGAGCAATCTGGAGCCATCTTGGGCTGTCTTGAGCCATCTTGGAAATCAGGTTGGGCTGTCCCATCTTGGGCCATTTTGGACGCTCCAATGCCTCGCGAACCCCCCCTCTAGGTCAAGGGGCGGGGATAGGGGGAGGGGCAAACTCCTCCCCGAAGGGGAAGGAGGGGGTTGAAAGAGAAACCGCCCTAGACCACCTACGCCCAGAGGGCTGGTGGGATTTGGGCTCTGGGCTTCTTGAAGACCCCTCGGGAGTGTGGACTGAGGCTGAGAGGATTGGGCAAATGACTTGAGGCACGGTGGCGGATGAATACTACTCTCCTCTCTCCCCTGACTCCGTCCGGAAGGTATTCGGCTCTCGCGCGTACGGTTTTTGTACACATGATTTGAAGCTTGTTTTTTCTTGTGTTTTTAACACTCCGATTGTTCTCGGTGCTTCAATTTGCTCCCGCTCCAGCATGGACCTGATTTTCGGATTGGCGCCTTGCCCCCGTCGTTTAACATTGCGCTCTCGCCTCAGCGTGGGCCACTTCCTCATTTGCCCTCCTCCGCCTTCCCCTGGTCCTCCTGCTCCTCCCGCTCCTTCCACTCCAGCTCCTGCTGTTGCTGTTCTTCCTCGTCCTCCTCATTCTTCCTCCTCCTTCTCCTCCTCCTTTCCCTCTTGCTCGTCCTTCTGCCCATCTGCCATTTCCCCCAGTGTACGCCGCTCCCTTTTTCCTGATTGCAAATAACACGATAGGGTCCTCTTTGGAGTTCCTGGTCCGCTAAGAGACGTGTCGGCGGATAGAGACGGCAACCGCGCAAAGTGAAGTAATGGGTGGGAGGGGTAGGGTGTCAGATGTGGCGCGAGCGCATCTGGCTTGCCCCCCTCCCCCGTTCCCTCCTCCTCCTCCTCCTCCTCCTCCTCCTCCTCCTTCTCCTCCTCCTTCCTCTTTCCTCCCCCTGCCTGCCCCTGCCTCTTCCCGTAGTCATGATCGTCATCGTCCTCATTCTCATTGGTATCGCCGGCATCATGGGCATCATGGCCATCATCACCACCGTCGTCATCACCGAATCGGTGCGCCCCTCACACGCTGCGGGGTCCCACGAGGAGCTGTCCCGAAGCCCCCAGAGGCTGCGGCCGCAGACCGTCTTCTCCGCCCCTTTCGGCACGCCCCTTTAGGCGCGCCTCGTGGCTCCGCGGGGAGCTCCACTGGAGGCCTCGATGGCAAGGTGCCACACAGCGCCCCCCTTCGAAGAAGAACAAACACACACATAAACATAAACTTTTGGCGCTCCGCGCGGATTTCTTGGGTCCGCGCTGGGCCCCCCTGGCGGCGCCTCCGGCGCCGCCCCTGGCGCGCTCCGCGCGCCAGGGAGGGGGGTCCGCCGCGGATCCAAGAAATCCGCGCGGAGCGCCAAAAGTTTATGTTTATGTGGTTTTTCCTTCTTCTACCCCCTGCCATCGCAGGCATACCCACACGTTTTGTGGTACGACAGAGAGCTCCGCATACGGCCTCAGTAGGCCATGCCACATGCCCCCCCCACACCCCCTTTGGCACACCCCTCACTCGTTTCGTTGCCCGACGGGGCGCCCAGTTCTAGGCCCAAGGGGCGGTGACTGCGTGCTGCCCCGCCAATTTCGGCACGCCCCTGACACGCTTCGTTGTCCCATAGGGAACTCCACCGAAGGCCCCAGTAGGTCCGCTCTCACGCCCCCCCTCGCCCAATTCGGCATACCACTCACGCTTCGTGACCCCATGGGAAGCTCCTCCGAAGGCCCCAGTGGGTGTGAGTCCACATGCGATTCCCCGCTCATGTCGGCACACCCTTCACACGCGCCGAGGCCCCAAAGGGAGCTCCGCCGAAGGTCCCAGCGCGTGCGTCGGACAGATTTTGGAAGACCAGGGATGAGGGCCATAAAAGCAGGTCCATTTTCGGCAAGAGACTGGTGGCGCCCTTGTCGTCCGCGGCTAGGGCAGAGAGCTTGCACTTGTTAATCGTCATCTGCTGTCTGTCTCAAAATCGCGGCGTCCACAGAGAACTTGTGAATTCGATGCGTCGAGTGTCCCATCAAAGAGAGGCCCGGTGAACATTCGGCTGGCTGGTTTCAACGCATCGTCGTGTTCAGGTCGTTCATTATGCGATCCATGGTGACGTGCTTGGTTGGTGGTCTTTTTTTTCCGCTGTTTCTTAAACAATTCTATTGACAACGGAAACGGCAGTAAGAAACGGCAGCCATACCAAAAAACAAAAGTGGCGCCAGAATTGGAGCCACCCCAACTGGCACCAAAAACTGAGACGGAACACTTAACAAAAACGGCAAAAACGGAGCCGGTACAAGAACGGCTCTGTCATTCCCAGGGGCCCATTGTGAGGACGTGCCATCCAGGTCTGGTCTTTGCAGGCTCTGGGCGTCCTGACAGCGTCCCGAAGACGTCTCCTCACGGCGGGCCTGCGCAGGCGAAGGGGAAACCTGCGGGCGGCGGTCATTTTTTTTGCACTCACGGACAAGACGTTGACAAGACGTCACGCGCACTCAGAGTCATGACTCCCTTCTCGTTTGGGCAGGCACGTGCCCGCGGTGTTCGCTGCCTCCTCATCCCCATTCGGTCGTCGTCGTCGTCCTCTCCTTCCCGCTTCCGTCCCTCCTCTCCTCCCCGCTCTCGCCCCCTCCCCCCTCCCTATCAGCCCCCCCTCGTGCGCCAGCCCGCCTCGAGGTCTTCAAGGCGCACCGGCTGGTCCTCTCCATGGCGTCGGACCCGCTCTTCGCCATGCTGAGCGGCAGCTTCGCCGAGGGGCGCTCGCCGCGTCCCGTCACTCTCGGCCTCGCTTTTTGTGCTCTCCGACGAGGGCGCTGGTGTCTTGGGACCTTCCTGACGTGCGGCGGAACGTTAACGTTCGACGGATCCCAGAAATAGGTGGCGTGGCATTTCTGTACGTCGAACTCGGGTGTAGCGGAAGGAGGAGGTGGAGGAGGAGGAGGTGGAGGAGGAGGAGGAAGAAGAAGAAGAGGAGGAGGAGGAGGAGGAGGAGGAGGAGGAGGAGGAGGAGGAGGAGGAGGAGGAGGAGGAAGGAGGGGAGGAGGAGGAGGAGGGAGGAGGAGGAGGAGAAAGAAGGAGGAGGTGGAGGTGGAGGAGGGAGGATGAGGAGATGAGGAGGAGGAGGAGGAGGAGGAGGAGGAGGAGGAGGAGGAGGAGGAGGAGGA